AGTCGAGATGTTGAGTTGGGATAGTTTGTAGAGGAGACCGGCGTGCCAGACCCGGTCGAAGGCTTTTTCCACGTCGAGGAAAATGGAAGCGGTGTTAACGTTGTCGTTAAAGTTCTGACTAAGTTGGTGAGTAAGTTTGGTCAGTTGTAGAGTGGTAGAGTGTTCAGGTCTGAAGGCGAATTGTTCTGGGCGGATTTTGTCTCGAATATTGGTTTGAAGGTGAGAGAGAATGATTCGTTCGTAAATTTTTGATATGGAGGAGAGTAGAGCGATTGGTCGGTAGTTTTCGGGAAGTTTGTGATCTTTACCCGGCTTGGGGATGGAAATTATTACTGCTTTTTTGGTTGTTTATGATTTTTTGGATTGTGCCAGGAGTGGTGAATAAATTAGATTTGGTGATATTTATGTTTCGAAGAGAGTTGGAGTGGGCAGAAACTTCTGGAAGGTCGGGACCAGGGTTTGGTTGGAATTGGAGTTCGAGAGAGTCGGCTATCAACTCTGCCCGATCGATGGCCGGAAAAAACTAGACCGTTGGGGCCGGTAAGAGGGTGGGATGCAGGACGTTTGTGGAGGAGACATTTGTTTAGTTTGTATATGGAACCGTCCTGATGGTCGAGAGAATTAAGAAAAATGTCCCACTGGTCAGTTTTGTGAGTTTCGAGTAAAGTTCTGATAAGTGAGATTTTGGCGTTAAGTTGACGTTTGGTATTCGGGTCACGGTTTCTTTGCCATTGACGGCGTAATTGGTTTTTTTCAGTTATTTCAAGTTTTATGTAGTCAGGTAGTAAAAAGGAAGAGTTTTTGTGTTTAGGGGTAAATACGCTAGCTTCGATCGCGTGTTGTATGTTTTTGGTGAGAGTATCAATTGCCAAATCGATTGACTCACTGTTGATGGTCGGTCGTTCAGTTGGGTTTGGTAAGTTGGATAGAATTGTCTTGTATTTTGTCCAGTTAATGAAGCGGTTAGTCGTTGGAGGGGACGATGATACCGGAGTACACAAGGTCTCCAGAAGGATAGGGTTGTGGTCAGAAGATAGCTCGTTGAGGTTGTCGATTTGAGTTGGGTAAGGTAGCCGAACGAGTGCGATGTCAAGTATGTCAGGTCTGTATCTAGCGTTTGTCGGGAAGTGTGTGGGGGATGAGGGAGCAGTAATGGTATAGTCCGATTGTTGAACGTGATCGAAAAGTACGCGACCGGCAGCGTTTGTCGAGTGGCTATACCAGAGAGGGTGTTTGGCGTTGAAGTCACCTACCGTGATTTGCCATTCGGCACTGTGGGTCAACAAGTCCAAGTCGTGAGACGTGAGTGTTGCACCTGGTGGTTTGTATACCGCTGATACAAGGACTTCGTGGCCGTTTAGTTGGATGAGGACAGAGGAGGTTTGAATGAGTGTGTTAAGAGTTATAGGTTGGTGAATGATGCGTCGGTGGATTAGAACAGCCGTGCCGCCGTGAGCAGGCGAGCCGCGGACGGGCGGCAGATCATTCCTGTATGTGAAGAAATTTGGAATGTGAAGTTTGGAAGAAGGGGGTAGACGGGTTTCGTTAAGTAGAATTATATCGGTTTTGAGAAGAAGTGCGAGGGAACGTAGTTCGTTGAGTTTGTGTTTAATGCCGTTGGAGTTACAAAAAAAGTATTTTTAAATTACTCATTTTGGGGAGAAAGAATAGACAGGAAAGTTTGGATAGTTGTTTGTATGAGTGTTTTGGGATCTTGGTTGTTTAAAAGTGCAGTCAGTAGGTTTGTGAGCAGGTTAAGTATTGTTGCCAAGTTAAGTTGTGGGAGTGTTGAAGATGAAAGAGTGTGGGCTGGTTTGGAAGTAGCTGCGGAGTATGTCAGTGTAGTGTTTTGAGCGGGGGGAGGTGGTGGTGGAGTGGTTGAGATTGGTTGAACGGATTGTTGACTAACGGGGTTTTGGGTTGAAGGTGGAGCTGCTTGTTGCTTTTGGGCCAAGAACTGGGGGCAGCCACGGAAATTGGCGGTGTGCGAGCCACCACAGTTGCAGCAAGTCGGGGGTTGATCGAAAGTTTTGGGGCAGACGTTGGCAGTGTGGTTTCCAGCGCATTTTACACATCGTGGCGGATGACCACAGTTACGTGAACCATGGCCAAAGCGTTGACATGAAAAGCACTGGGCCGGGCCGGAGGGTTTGAGGGGTTCAACAGAGATTTGTAGGTAAAACAAGTTGTCTATGGAAAAAATGTCTTTGGCCGAATGATTGGCGGCGATGTGTACTGCACAAATGGGCATTGGTTTCTCCGGAGTTCCAAAGCGGCGGACGTGTTGAACGGTGTAACCGAGGGATTCTAGTTCGACCTGGAGTTCGTCTGTTGATATGTCGTTTGGAATTCCCTTGAGAACGACCTTAAGAGTGCGTTCCTCAGGGAGGGAAAAAGTGTGGAATTCGGTGCCTAGGTGTATCAGAGTCTTTTGGATCAGGCGGAATTGGGTAGTATCCGCGGCCCGTAAGGTTAACCGGTCGCCAGAGGATTTTGCTGATAGAGAGCTCGGTTGTAAATTTTGGATTTTATAGATGGTGGGCGCGGCCTTCCGCCAGGAAGCGGAACTCAATATGATAGGTGGAGGTCTGGAGATTGAAGGAGTTTTGGACGGAACTTGGGCGGTTGAGAGTGGAGTATTTACTGAGTGTACGGAAGTAAGTGATGATAGGGAGTGGTGGGTTGAGGTGCTAGAGTCGGAGAAAGAGTCTAGGGTTTCAGAGTCGGAAGTACTAGAATTTGATTGTATTGGGGAAGGGGGAGCTGATCGTTGTTTAGCTATTTTCGGAGGTGGTTTGGTCGGGGGGTCTCCGGCCTTCCTACGCTTGTTGTTCCTGGCCATTTCGTAGGTGTAGGGTGTTTGGGGAGGTTAGGTTAGGTTAGTGGTAGGCTGTGGCTATGTGAGGGCGCGGCCCCACGACAGCTGTTGACGGAGGGACGTCGCTTCCGCGGCGGCTTACTTGTGGGCGCTGGTGCCCTGTCGGAGAGCGGTGAAAACGGCTGATTTGTGTAGACGTCAACGTCGCTTCCGCGGCGGCTTGTTTTGGGCGCTGGTGCCCTGTTGAGAGCGGTGAAAACGGCTGTTGGTGGAGATGTCGCTTCCGCGGCGGCTTGCTATGGGCGCTGGTGCCCTGTTGAGAGCCGTGAGAACGGCTGTTTAGGTGATGGTTCGGGTGTGAACCGTGGGCGCTGATGCCCTGTTGAGAGCGGTGAGAACGGCTGTTTGAAGAACTGCTGCTGAAGGCTGGCTGGCTGGCTGGCTGGCTGGCTGCAAGTTGAGTGGTGTTGGACTTGTTCGGATTTGATACTGAATTTACTGATGATGATATATTGACTAGATTGCATTGCATTGCATTAAAAGGGATGGCTATGCCGTTAACTATTCCAGGCTTATGCCTCTACTAGTGGATGGAATTTAAAAGAAATGGTTAGATTTATTGGTCTGCCCAAGAGAGTGGGTAGGGTTTCAATTTACGTTTAGTATTTGGGGGAGGGTGTGTTTTACCTAAAAGTCGGATGTGAGCATGATTCGAGAAAGAATTTTTGTAGAACATTGATTTGGTTTGGGAACGAATGGAGTTTTGAATAGATTTGAAATTTGTCGATTTTAGAAGGACCGAATTTCTAACGATAGTGGGCATACGCGTTATAGTGCGTATGCCGATGTTTTGGACGGATTCGATGCGGTTCCATTGAGAGGGTCCTATAAAGGGTGCCCAAGAAGAGCCAGCGTACGTTAGGATAGGTGAGACGTAAAGTTTAAGTATGTTAAGTTTCGTTGTCGTTGGGACGGGGCTAGTGCGGTTTAGTATGGGGTAAAGCATACCTCGGATGCGGGTAGCCTTTTTGGTGATGTTTTGTATGTGTTTGCCAAAAGTGAGTTTGCGCCCGATGGTGACGCCGAGGTATTTTGCTTTGTCGGACCAGTTAATGGAGTGGTTGTCGAGTAGTAGTGGTGGAACGTGGGTGGTATTTGAGTGTCCGAAAATGATACCTACAGTTTTGGTCGCGTTTATTTTGATTCGCCATCGGTGAAACCATGTGGTTGCAAGGTTAAGTTGGTCTTGTAACTGAATGGCTGCTCGTTTTTGGTTGTGGTCGTAAGTAAAGAACATCGTGTCGTCGGCGAATAACGAGAGATGAGCTTTTGAAGTCGTCGGAATGTCGTTTATGTAGGTCAAGTAGAGAGTTGGTGATAGGTAGGATCCTTGAGGGACGCCTGCGAGAATGTGTCTGGTGGACGAGAAAGAGTCTTCGATTTTAGCGATAAAAGTGCGGTCGGTGAGAAAGGATTCGATGATTTTAATGATTTCGGTCGGGATGTTGAGTTGAGAAAGTTTGTATAGGAGTCCGGCGTGCCAGACTCTGTCGAAAGCTTTCTCCACATCAAGAAATATAGAAGCGGTGTTTATGTTGTTGTTAAAGTTCTGGCTGAGTTGGTGAGTGAGTTTGGTCAGTTGTTGGGTAGTAGAGTGTTCGGCTCTGAAGGCAAACTGTTCAGGGCGGATTTTGTCACGGAGTATGTTTTGTAGGTGAGTGAGTATGAGTCGTTCGTAGATTTTTGATAGGGAGGAAAGTAGAGCGATTGGGCGGTAGTTTACGGGTAGTTTGTGGTCTTTGCCTGGTTTGGGAATGGAAATTATGACTTTTTTTTTAAAAAAACTGACTAGATTTTGCAATTTGCAATTTGCTATGGTTGGGCGGCCAAGGCCTATTAAGAGTACCAGGCTGACTAGATTGTCGAGAGTGTCCGGTATTTATACCCTTTTCGACAATCTAGTCCATCGTTGATTGGTCCGCGTACTATGTTTTAGACGAATGAAAATCACATCGTTGAACGGACATTCCTATCTATTATGTGTGATTTTCACTCGTCATATCGTGTCCATTTTTCCAATCGTCTTTATTTGGTGGTCTTGAAAAAGACCTTTTTCTGTGTCACGGTTGTTTGTTCCGTAACAGAACCCCCCCCCCCAGATTTGTGCTGGGGTGGGAACCATTCAGCGCAAATTTTCATTTGTGCGGAACAAATGTGTCCGTGTCTGTGCTGCTTTGTATACTGCTGTTCTTAATTGGTTGTTACTCATATGCCATAACAACGTAGTCTCCTCCTCATTTCTACATCTTTTCTTCGAACGTTCGTGTGCGGCTAGTTGCTCTTTTATATAATCAACTGCCTGGGCAATGTTTATATTATCCTTTTAAAATGGAATATATTTGTGTAACGTGTGGCCTGTTACCATTCTCCAATCTATTGGCTGATTCCATTCTGCATGTTTTTCTTTCCTCGCATTGTCTACTTCGGTGATCCATTGAATTATTGATAAGTGTTTTTCTTTGTTTCTTTTTCGTTCAGCTTCCTCGTCAGTTGAAATTGCTTTCACCTGTCGGACTGATGCTAGTCCGTAGTCGTCGACCTTGTCGACCTTGAATGTCTGCTGCCTAGCTTCTGCCGCGGCTTTTCTTAAATGCTCGTATTTTCCTGTAGTCTTCATGTTGACTGCTTATTGATGAATGATGATTTGATTGCGACTTTGCTGATTTATATACTTTGTTTCGTGACGTTGTGTGCGTTTTGATTGGTCCATCCGACTGACCAATCCCATACGTGATATTTATTATTGTCAATTGTTTGGTCTGTAATACGGACGAATTTCAGCGATGTTTGTCAGCTGTTGTTTGTCCGTTGTCGGGTCTCGTATTACTAATGTATTCTGGCTTATTATTTTTACTACCTCGTACGGCCCGTTGAAAAGGTTGAACAGTTTCTTTATTTTCCCGTGTTCTGCATTTGATTGTTGGTGGTTTTTTTATAAGTATCTGTTGTCCGACTTCGTATTTGTGTATTTTTAGATTTCTTTTCTTATTTTCCCTTTTTTCTGCTTTTGTTTTGACAATGGGTTTTGGGTATGGTTTCACACAAATTGGAGTGTCGTTTTTTAATTTTATTTTACATTGGTAATTCTTAATTTTCCCAGGTTCACTCCTGAACACAGTTGAGAATTTTTTTAAAATTTTGTCCAAATATTTTTGTTCCAAATGTGAGTGTATGTTGATTCTTCTTGGGTGAATAGGTTCTTTCGATATTCCCGTTTGTACCGTTTTTAGGTGCATTGGTGCACCGTTCCTTTTATTGATGAATGGGATCTTTAGTTCGTTTTGTTCAACAGTAATTGTTACCGTTTTTTCTCCGAAGTCTATTATTGCCTTGTGTGTTTCGAGGAAGTCGTTGCCCAAAATTCCTCCCTCATTTAACGTCGGAACCACGATGAATGGGGTTTGTATTACTGTTTTTTCGATCGATAGGGGAATTAACAGTTGTCTGTTGACCTTTATTGATTTGTCTCCGGTCGCATTGTGAATAGTCATGCCCGATAGTGGAAGTATTGGAGTTGAATTGTCTAATATTAGTATTGCCTTTTCGTGTTCGGTGGATATTGCGCTAATTTCGGCTCCCGAATCGACCAACATTTCGAATTTTTTACCCAGGATATTCATGTGTATATATGGGCAACCATTTTTTTCATTGTTCAATTGGATATCGTATTCTTCATCTTTCGTTAGTTCACTTGCAGTGATTATGGATGTTTCATTGCTTTTTTTTTTTCTGTGCGGTTGTAGTCTTATGTTTTGCTTGCTATATGATATTCGTTTTATGTGTTTTTCGGAATTGACGGGATCAGTAGCTATTGGTCTCCCTACGCCATAGCCTCCCCGTATAAGTTTTTTGTATCGTCATCGATAATGTTTGCCTCTCCCTCCTCATTGGCTGACTCGTCATTTGTGTCATCGTGTGTTACGAGGTATCTGATTGTTTTTTTATCTTGCGCTGATGCGTAGGCTGCATACTAGTTGCGGTCATGACGATTTTTGAGATAAACGGATATAACAGTTGCGGTCACGCCAATTTAGGTAATATCTTAGTTGCGGTCATAGCTTTATTATACTCCAATTCCAGGCGAAATGTATATTATACGATAAACATATTTTTTGATATAATGCACACAGCGTATATATGTGGGAACACCACTACTTATCTGTAAAGTTTATAAATAAAATAGATTAAATTGTATACTCCGATCATAGTTTCGAATATTGCTTTCATTGTGCCTACGTCTTTTGATACGGTAAAACAAAAATGAATTCGAAAAATATGTTGAGTGAAAAATTAAAACCATTACGGGTCGTTAATAATTATAAATTTCGATTTTATCGTACATTAGCGAATGACGTACAACGGTGGGTATGTTGTAAAAAAACATGTAATGCGGCTATAAAATACGATGTTAATGGTACCATTTGTGAACAAAATACAACACATAACCATGAACCAGACGATCTTCAATCAATATTACGGCAAAAGGTTAGTAACAGTGCTAAACGTAAGGCAGTAGAGCAGTTTAGTGAGCGCCCTTCTAAAATTATTCATTCTGAGATGTCAAGTACAGCACTAAGTGTACTCGACTCAAATGATATTTCTTTGATTAGGAAAAATATACATACTACACGAATGAATATTTATCCGAAGTTGCCACGTGACTTTCCACAATTGCATGCGACGCTTCCTGACGTAATTAATAAAATACAGACGAAAAATAATGAAAAATGGATTTTTATAAATGATGTCCAGAACAATATAGTGTGTTTTACAACTCAGATAAACCTTGATTTTCTTAAGCAATGTGATTCAATTTTTATGGATGGTACATTTTCAAGTTGTCCTTTTCCTTTTAAGCAACTTTTTGTAATTCATGGATTTAAAAATAGCTCATACATACCATTGTTTTTTTCGTTGTTGCCTAGTAAATGTCATAATGCGTACAAGACTGTATTAGATCATCTCAAAAATCATTTATGTGACTATATCCCAAATAGAGTTTTCAGTGACTTCGAACAGGCTATCCACACAGCAATTAAAGACGTGTGGCCCACTACAAATTTGAAAGCATGCCGTTTTCACCTAGGGCAAGCATGGTTTCGCAAAATGCAGTCATTAGGTCTAGCAAAACCATATATGAAACCCGGTGAAATGTCCGAATATTTGAAACTTTTTTTCGGACTTCCGTTTCTACGACCAGATGAAGTTGACGATTGTTTTGTCACAGATATTATGGCTCTTCTTCCACCTAATAATTCAAAATTGACTGCATTTACAGACTATATTTTAGAAGTGTATGTAAGGGAAGATTCGAGATATCCACCGTCATTATGGGCTGAATGTTCGTCTTCCATAACACGAACAACCAATGCATGCGAAAGCTTTCATTCAAAGCTCAATAGCATGTTTTACCACTCTCACCCTAATATTTTTATATTTATTGACGCTTTAAATGAAATTCAAACGAATGGATATTTAAAAATGAATTGTACAAAAAACAGTCGTGTTAATAAAAAGTCAATAGAAAAAGAGCATTTTTTAGCGCAACAAATACAGTATTATGAAGAAGGCGAAATAAATCGGCTTGAATTTCTAAAGTCGATTTCCTTTAAATTTATACCAACAAAATTTTAAAATTTACACAATTTATATAATAATAATTATTTGACATTATTATATTATACTTAATAATATTATAATATATATAATATTATAATATAATATAATATTATACCTAATATTATTATATTATATTATACTTTGACACAAGTTTAAACATATTATACTTTGACACAAATTTAAACATAAGTATCAACATTTTTAACCATACCTACACAATAAATAATAGTGTAGACAGTCCTAAGTCTGTTATCTTTTCGATATAAATGGGAAGGAAAATGTTGATTAGTAAATTTTTCTAAATTAAATAAATAAACCAAATATTAATTTCATATTAAATTATTATATAAACTATATTATATTATATTATTTAGTATACTTAGTTATTATTGTTTGAGTAATAATATGTAACTATACTAGTATGTAACCTTTTTGTTGGGTGACCGCAACTAGTATGTAACCTTTTTGAGGGGTGACCGCAACTAGTATGTCATTTTTGATTATGACCGCAACTAGTACACACCGGATGCGTACTGTGTTTGTCCACCTGTCCCATTTATTGGTCGTTGGGTTGCTTGTCGTGGACCTGATTGTTGAACGCTATTTTGTTGTGTAGACCCCGTTTGTGTATATCGGCCCCCGACTTGTTGTGAATTACTGCCATTCGTGTTACCGTACCGACTAGTAAACGGTTGTGTTTGGTTGTCGTTTGTACGAGTATACCGACTAGTGAATGGTTGTTTATTATTTGTCATTTGCTGATCGGTACTGTTCTGTTTGTTGTAATTATTTTCTAATTCACCCAACTTTTCCCATATGTTGAGGAACTTTTTTTCTTGCGTTGTCTGTATGTAAGCCTGAATGGCTATAGGGAAATGCTTTGTTATTAGGTTAATAGCCTGTAATTCGTCCATTTTTGGCGAGTCCAGATGCTTAAGCTCTGTCATCCAATAATGGAAGTGTTCCTGGAAGTTATTGCTTATTGGTTTTTTTCCTGCTTCCGTGCATTTTATAAATATGTCCCATTGAGGGTCTTCCGAAAAGAAGTGTTTCAAAAACAGTGTCTTAAATGTATCTTCATTTGGTGCCAAGTCTTTGATCATGGTGAACCATTTTGCAGCTTTTCCTCTCATGCAATTTTCGATTGTAATTATTCGATCAACTTGGGTGATGTGTTTGTGCAATAAGTACGAGTTCAGGTTTTTCAAGAATTGTTTCGGGTGCTCGCTCGGTTCGCCACTAAAAGTTGGCATTGTTAGTTCGATGTTGCTTGCCCTTGTACTTGCGTTGTCTTGACTCGCTGTTTTTACCAATTGGATGTCCCTCTCACGTCTTGCTGCTTCGATCGTTATTTTTGTATCCGTGTCATTGATTAGTTGTTTAATTATATCCGTAGCGTCTCGTAACTCAATAGTTAGGTTTTCGAGTGCGGTGTTCTGAGTATTTACTTTCTCCTGTAGCAGTTGCATCGTGTCTTCCAGTTGCTGGATCCGATCTGCATGCGTACTCTTCACCATTTTGTCGGTGTAATCTCGGAGTCGTGGCCTTCTTGCCACTGGTTGGGCGCCAGTTGAAACGGGGTATCCTAATGGACAACCCGTATCGTCAAATAAAAATACGATGGTTTATAGCGGTAATCACATATATCTATTGCTATAGAAAATATATATTATATCGACAATATTGTGGATCAGTAAAGCGTCGATTTGCGCCGACCAGACTTATTTAAGTGAGTCGGCGCAATCGGTGGTGCTTGGGTGGTGGTCGGGCAACAGCCGGACCCTACTTTACAATGAGATAGGTTTAATAATATAATATGTATATTATACAACAATCAGTATTGGGCTGGGGAGCCGGCCGTCGTCGGTACAGACTTAAATCAAGCGGTACCCCGACGACGAACCTGACCCGGGTCGGACAGCTTAGTTAAGCGCCGAAGTCGGTGTCGTGTTGGCCCTGAAAAGGGCCGTTTAGTGTTATAACGCCGGGAGTTGTTGAGGAGTCCGGCGGTCCTATCGGCCTGGATTGGTAAACGGCGATCGGTGATTGGTTGATGTCGTTGCTGCAGGAATCGGTGTCGCCACGGGTCTGATAGCTGTTAAACGGCAGCCACGTGGATCCTGGTACTGACGTCGTTGTTGTTCGCCTGTGAACTCGCACCGGTCTCACGCCGTGGAACGGTAACCGGCGATGTTTGACGGTCGAATGATGTTTGCGACCGTGGTGTGGCGTATCGTCGGTGGCCGGTGGTCGAACGGCGCTTCAGCCGTGGAGCGACGTTGTTGTTGGTAGTCGTTGGTCGAACGATGCTTGCAGCCGTAGAGCGGCGTATCGTCTGGTAATCGGCGGTTGGTCTTCTGGTCCGTATCTTCTTTCTGTTGGAACTTTTCTAGTAGTTGTTGACAGATTGAAGGCTTGAAGTGGACTGACTAGATTGCTTTGCTTTGCTTCGAAATGGGAGCCAAGGAAAAACCCCAGCTGTGTTTGTAAGTGTCAGGCGATGCCTATAACTTATGTTTGAATTTTTAAATGGCTGGTTGTCAGGATGTTTAGTATATTATTGTAATTTTGCAAAGTTGATTGGTCTTGGTCGGCGTGTGAGTATTTGAGGAGCTGTTGATGTTCCAATGTCGCGGATGTGGGCGAATGTTGATTGGGAATTTCTGTGATAAAATACCCTAGCCGCTAGTTCTGCTTCGTTTCGCAAAGAGTTTATGGGTGGATTTAAGATGGCGTTATTTCTGGTGAAAAAGTGGGCACCTGTGATTATACGGACCGCCACGTTTTGGACTGCTTCTATCTTTGCCCAGTTTGATACACTGATGAGAGGACCCCATGCCGAAGAGGCATATAGTAAAATTGGTTTGATATATAATTTATAAATTGAGAGTCTGGTTGGCATTGGAATGGGTGATCTGCTGTTAAGTATCGGGTATAGTGCCCCTCTGGCTTGCTTAGCCTTCCTGATGCAGACCTTGACGTGGTCATTTAGGCGCAGGGCTTTGTCTAGTGTGACGCCGAGATAGGTGGTCTTGTTTTTCCAGTCGATTGTTTGTCCTTGTATTTGGATTTTTCGCGTGGTTTCTTTTCGGCTGGTTCCAAAAAGTATGCATACCGTTTTTTGAGGGTTCAGTTTTAAACGCCATTTATTAATCCAGTCGGTTGTCGTGGTGACTTGGCGTTGAAGTCGGATTATGGCGAAGTTTTTCGACATGTTACTAGATTAAAACATGGTGTCGTCGGCAAACAATGAAGTTGTGACATGAGGTGAGGATGGGAGATCGTTGATGTATAGAGTGTATAATAGGGGAGAAAGGCATGACCCCTGTGGAACTCCTGCTTCGATTGTTCTGAAGGTTGATTTGAGGTCGGAGATTTGAATTTGGAAGTTCCGGTTTGATAGGAATGATTTAATGATTTTTATCAGGGATGTGGGGACGGTTGACATAGTGTGGAGTTTGTGGATTAATCCGTCGTGCCACACTCTGTCGAACGCTTTCTCCATGTCCAAGAAAATGGCAGCCGTGTGTCTATTATTATTTGTATTTATTACCAAGTCGTCAATCAATTTAGTGAGTTGCGTAGTCGTCGAGTGTCCGTGTCGGAAAGCATGTTGTTCTGATCTTGGCTTAAAATATTTGTTTAGATGGCTTAGTAGAATTTTTTCCAAAACTTTTGACATCGTGACGAGGAGTGATATTGGCCTGTAGTTGATTGGTAGACTGTGGTTTTTGTTAGGCTTCGGAATCATGACGATGGTGGCAGTTTTCCAGGAGGTCGGAAAAAAAGAGTGTCTGAGACAAGCTGTGATTAAGTTGCTTAGTCTTACGATGGCAGGGGCAGGAAGGTGCTTTAGTGCAGCGTTAGTAATGTTGTCGTGTCCAGGGGCTTTGGCGGATGGTAGGTTTTTAATAATTCCAAACACTTCCCCAGGGGTAGTGAAAAGGCTTGACTTTGTGGAGTATCCGTTCAGTTCGTTGACCGATCGGCTGACCTCCAATAGCTCGTTCCCAGGGTTGGCGGTAAACTGGTCCCTCATTGTGTCTGCAAACAGCTCCAGTTTGGATTTAGTGTCGTAGATTTTTTGACCGGAGTTTGTCGTCAACGGTTCGGAAGCTGGCTTTTTGTGAAGCAGACGACGGTTTAGTTTGTAGAGTGATTGGTCTTGGAAATTTAGTGTGGATGTGAAACGGTCCCATGCTAATTGACGGTGTTCTTTAAGGAGGTTTCGGACATACACTATTTGGGCGTTTAGCATTGTCTTTACTGCTGGATGCCTAGTGCGTTGCCAGTCTTTCCTTAAATTTCGTTTTGTGGCAATCTCAAGTAAGATATCGGGGGAGAGTGGATCTCTGGTTTGAGGTTTGTTAATGAGGTAGGAGCATTTTTCGATTGTTGACTTTATGAGTGTGGTAAATGAATCAACCTCGTTGTCGATTTCTGTTGGGTTTGATAGTTTGGTCGTCAGTTTTGGAGATTTAAGAGATAGTTCTTGCTCAAATTTTTTCCAGTTGATTCTTTTTCTGGCAGCCGGAGGGTTAATCGTGATAGGAGAGTCGCTTATAGTCATAACAATTGGGTTATGGTCTGACGTTAGCTCATTATGATTTGTGAGGACATATTCTCTGTGATGGAGGTTTACAAGTGCTATGTCCAGGATATCCGGCCTGTGTAGAGAATTGTAGGAGTAGTGTGTTGGGGAGTCAGGTGCGCAAATGGAGTATGAGTTGGATGTTTCCATATGTTGATGGAGAATTCTACCCGCCTGGTTTGTAGTGCGACAGTTCCAAGACTGATGTTTTGCGTTTAGGTCACCAGCTGCTAGAAAAAGGTCATTTTGATTTGTCAGGATGTCTAGGTCATTAGTTTGCAGGGGAGAATTTGGACTCTTATACATAGAAGTTATACGGACTTGGTCGTTCCCAAGTTTGATTTTGACTGTAGTTGACTCGAGGGAAGTCTTGATGTCCTCTTGGTTGTGAATTATGTTTTTGTGGACAAGTATGGCAGTACCG